TTTTTTTTTTTTTTTGAGACAGGGTCTCGCTCTTTAATTCACACTGACCTTGAACTCTTGTAGCCCAGGTTAGCCTTGAACTCAAAGTGATTCTTCTGCCTTGGCTTCCTGAGTACTAGGATTACAGGCCTGTGCCCAACTGTTTACTAATTCTTGTACTTATTTTTTAAGACCACTTGTGGGGTTGGGCTTGGCTAATGTCAAGGTGAATGAAGGTTATTTTTGGGGGAGGGACCAGGAATTGAACACAGGACCTCACACTTGCCAGGCAGGTGCATTGCCACTGAGCTAGTTTCCTGGCCCAAATTAGGAGTTTCAAAGGGTTTTGTGTTTGTCTTTTTTTTTTTTTTTAAAGTTGGTCCAATTTAAATGATGAGAAAATACTGCCTGTGAATGCAGAACTGAACTTCTTAGATAATTCTGTCATGTAGTATCTAAAGTTTTTGTTTTTGCTTGTTAATCTCAGCGAGCAGCGGCTGTCAGCCTGAGCCTTCCTCCAAAGCAGGGCTTCTCAAGCTGGCCATGATCTTTGCCCCAGCACATTTGACATTATCTTGAGACACTTAAACTCAAGGCTAAAGTGGGAGGTTGCTACTGGCCTCCCGAGGCTGCTGGCGCTGCTGAGATCTCCCAGTGCACCGGGCAGCTCCCCACAGCAAACAGGACAGTTGGTCCAAGTGTCACCAGTGTCACTCTCAAGGATCCCTGCTGTGAAGGTTCCATATGGTGCCCGGGGCTTCCAGTGGGAAGCCCTGAGGATGCTTTGCAATTCCAGTTCTCCCCACGAGGGGCTGCGGCTTCGCTCTGGCTAGGATCAGCTGTGGTGAAACGGTGCTCCTACAAGTGGCTGGGCTTGGGCAGGGCTGAGGAGAGTCCCACCTCCCCCTCTGGATTCTTCTTGTCAGGGTGTCGCGCTGGTTTGAAGTGTAGTCTTCAGGACACAATCTTCTATTCGTGTTTTTTGGGTTTTTTTTGTATTCGGTTTTTTTTTTAATTTTTTTTTCTTTTCTTTTTTTTCTTTTTTTTTCTTTTCAAAGTTTTATTGATAAATATATAGCAATGAGACAGTTTCAAATCAAATCGAAAGT